TGGCTGCGCGCCGCGCCACCGTCGCCTGCGCGCTGCTGCTGCTGCTGTCCTCCGCCCTGCTCCGCCGCGGCTGCTGGGCGCGCTTCGCTGCCGAGCCGGACTCGGAGGAGGACGGAGAGGAACTGGTGGCGTTCCCCGAGTCGCCCTTGCAGAGCCCCACGGTGCTCGTGGCTATCCTCGCCCGCAATGCCGCTCACACGCTGCCTCACTTCCTCGGCTGCCTGGAGCGGCTGGACTACCCCAAGAACAGGATGGCCATCTGGTAAGCCGGTTGGGGTCCCGGGCTACCGCGGAGGGAGGGCAGCCTGGCGCGCAAACATCTTTGCTGTCCGCTTGGGTCCTGCGCTGCGCGGGTGGTGGGGCCGGGAGGGAGATGTGGGAACATATGGGCGAGAATCCGGTGGTCTTGACTTTCCTCACCCCTCGCCCCCGCCTCACTATAAGGAATTTGAGGAGACCTCCTTAGGAAGATTTTCAACCCCCCTTTCAATTCTCGAGGTTTCTTCTGTACCCCCAAGTCACGAAGGGAAAGGAGAGAGAGTGTCCGTCGCCTCCAGATGCACATACACAACCTAACTTGGGCTAGCAAAAGGGTCCGCAGAGGCTGGAGAGGTGGCTCCAGGACTTGCAGGTGCCAGGCTCCTGCTCCCTGCTTAGCTTGGCTCCTGGCTTTTCCCTGGGGTTTCTAAACCCAGGGATGGAGAGTACATCGCTTTGTTTGGAGTCTTTCCAATCACACCACACTGTGGGCCGGTCTTCCTTGGGAGCTCCAGAAGGTTCCTGCCTGTTCAGCCTCCTGGGACACATTCCCGCTGCAGATGCAAACTGCTGTGAGGTTCTCTGGGGTTTCTGCTGGGGTGCGATGGAGTCGCTTTGGGGAGGATAAACAGCCAAGTTTTGTCAGCTTGGTACCTTTTGTGTTTGTTGTTGATTAGGACCGGGAATCAAGGGAAGTCTATTCCCTTCCTCCTCTGGACTTCAGTCTGGGTTCCACACCTTTAAATCCAAGTGTTAGTGTAGAGTTGACTCGAGAAGCTCCAGATGGTCTACGGAAGTAAAAGCTTGCCAGGGAAGACTAGCCTTCAGATTGGCAGACAAGCCTTGCTCGCATCCCTGAGAGTAACAGCTCAGGTCACTCTGGAGCGGGCTTTGAAGGGAGCTGTCCCCAGACAAGACGCATCCTAAAGCAGAGATGGGCAGAGAGAGGAGGAAGGAATTGGCAGGCTCACAGTACCTGGTAGGAGAGGTACTCCAGTGCGAAAACAAACAAATGGCACAGTACAGCACTGTGGGCACGCTGCTTCACCATACACCCTGCCATACGTGACTGCTCTCACGGAGAAGAGCGTGTTGTGTGCAAAGAAAGCGGGAACGCTGGTGCACCCGGTGTGTGTGTGTGTGTGTGTGTGTGTGTGTGTGTGTGTGTGTGTGTGTGTTTTAACCACTTCCATGCCAGAAGACTTTTTAAATTGAGAGTCTCTTCCTGCTTCGTTTGCAAAAGAAATCTTCTACATAGGGTTTTGGTTTTTTATGCGCTATTTAATTTTTTAAAGCCTTACAGTATTTGCCAGAAGTTAGGAAGAGGAGAAGCAAGCCTGGAGAGTCACTTGGGTCACAGAATTAACAAATGGTGTGTTGACATAAGCATTGTAAGGAAGGGAGCGCTCACAGTTCGAGGGTGTGGTTCACCGTGGGGGTGGGGAGAAACGCTTGGCTGCAGGAGCCTGATGTCTCATTGTATCCAGTCAGAAAGCAGAGAGATGGATGTTGTTGTTTTCTTTTTACTCCATCCAGTACCCCCAACCATGGAACAGTACCGCCTTTAGTGGGGGTCTTTGCTTCTTTCATAGACATGCCCTTCATAGACATAGCCAGAAGTGTCTTCCCACAGTGATTTTAGTTCCAAATCTAATCCAACTGGCCATCAATATTGACCACCACAAAAGGTAAAGCACAAATTTGACCTGTGAGTTTGTCTACAGACTCCACAACTCTTTAAAAAAGGTAGGAAGATTAGGAATGTGGGATAAGTAAAATTTACAGATTATAAATTAGAATTTAGGATATCTGAGTTGTTTCTCAATAGCTTGATACGTGATTTGGACCACATGCTATAGAATCCATAGATACTGATTTCTCACGAGTTTGAAGGAGTTGAAATAAATGACTGAAAAAAAATTCTTTCTAGATCCTGAATTCTGCAGATTTTGTGATGTAATTGGAATCAACAAGCAAGTGATGTCTATCCTAACTTCCATGAGTGTTCCAGATCACATGAACACTGGTGTCTTGCTTAGATGAGGTGCATATTGATTCTACATAGACCTTTGCCGCCTCTTTCCCCTTTTCTTCACTCAAGGTCCACGTCACTGTCCTTATCCTTTGTGGTCAGTGTCTTAGTTAGGGTTTCTATTGCTATGAAGAGACACCTTGGTCATGGCAACTCGCATAAAAGAAAAACATTTCATTGGGGTTTCTGGCTTACAGTTCAGAGGTTCAGTCCATTATCATCATGTTGGGACATGGCAGCTTGCAGGCAGACACGATACTAGAGAAGTAGTTGACAGTCCTGTATCTGGCTGGCAACAGAAAGTGGTCTGAGACGCTTGGTAGTATCTTGATCATATATGAGACCTCAAAACCCACCTCCATAGTGACACATTTCCTCCAACAAGACCACACCTACTCCAACAAGCCATACCTCCTGACAGTGCTACTCCCTTTGGGAGACATTTTCTTTCAAACCACCACTACCAGCATGAGAAGACTGAGGAAGATGCCCAAGATGTGGATGAGGATATGAACAATCTCTAGAGACTCTTATCTTGAAAAGCTTGGTTCTATCTTAGAAGCTCTGTGCAATGCCTTAAATAACAACAAACGTGCTAGTTCATAGGGGACCAGAGATATGGGCAGTGGTTAAGAGTATTTGCTACTCTTGCAAAGGACAAAACTCGAGTTCAGTTCCTAGCACCATAGATGACCATTGGCAACCACCAGAAACTCCGCTTCCAGGGGATCCAATGCCCCTTCCTGGTGTCTACAGATACCCACAGACACAGAGACAAGGACAAATGAACAAAAAATAAATCTGTTTAAAAAGTCAGTTTTAAAGTATTCTCTTCTAACTATTAGGTACTTTCAATCAATTAGATCTGAAGTAAAATTGAACAAAGTGTGGCTCCACTTTGTGGCTCCCCAAACACTACGTTTTCATAGAGCAGTAACATGATTGGTATGGTATTTAGCTGTCGTGGGGGAGGGTGGCATGAAAGGACTTCTAAACAGATTGGGGAGCATATGTGGCCTTGAAGCCTTTTGGAGAAGTTGATAGTAAGATTGAACTGAGTTTTGAAGGATAAACAGGAATTCCGAGAGGATTTCTTCTGCAAAGGAAGTCTTCCAGAAGAGGGAACTAGGAGACAAAAGACTCGGAGCATTCACCAGAGCTTCCATGCAGATGGGTTATAGCAGGCGAACAGTATAATGACAGCTGTCCTCAAGATGCGTCTCTCTGGAACAGCCAGCTTTTGGACCTGCCCCAAAAGGGTATTGTCCGGGAAGGTTCAAATTTACTACCTAAACCATGTTTCTGAGAGATGTTGATGCATTTTATCTAATTATTCTTTATCAATAAAAAATTTGGAAGTCAAATATTGGGATAAAAACCCGGATGATCCGAGAAGCAGTGGAGAAGCAGTTAGGGACCTCCATCCAAAAGGCCTGAGATCCTTACTTCTTCCTGTCTCTCTATCTGCCCTCAGTCTTCAAAAATCTCTATGGTTAACTTTGGTCATCTAGTACCTAGCTCTGTGCTCTGAATCAAAGCAAGCTTTATTGTCAAAATTCAATCAAAACATCACACAATGGGATGTTGTAACCGTAGGAACTTCTACCAGTTGCTTTCTTCTTGACTGTTAAACCTAAGACATACTCAGCATCTGAGATGCCAAACGGGATGCCTGCTGTGCCAGGCTATGCCTATCAACTTCAAAAACGGCCACGAGCTACTGAGAGTCTTCAAGCAAGCATCATCGAGTAGAGTCTGGGATGCTAGCTTTCACTGAGTCACGTTGCAGCAACTCACCAGGGCAGACAGACTCACCCTTCTCCTTCATCCTCTGATGATGGACGGAAGAACATGGGATAAGGTTTCTTTCCTCGATCATTGACGGTCAAGACATTTTCCCCTAGCCCACATTGTCATTGAGAGACTGGTCCATGGACCACACGAAGACTTCCTTGCCACATGATTCCCTTACACAGCTTTCTAGACCTGACCCATACTGCACACACAGGTGAGATGGGAACCAACAAACTGGTGTATGAACCTCTGCTTTTGGAAAATGTATTTATTTTGATGAGCATTGAGGGGTTGGGGTGTTGACTGAATATTGGAATGTTTTTATTTCAGAGATACACTTCACAGCAGCAAAAGGGCATTTGTTTTAATTCTCTTGTGTAATCTTAAAACTCAACAAACTACTTGCTTTTCTTTAATTATCACAACCTGGGATAAGAAACAAGGCAGGAATTTCCTATGCATTAAAACGTGTAGTACTGTGCTGAGCCACGGAGCCTGTGAGACTCTGGGATGTGAGGCAGTGAGCTTCAATGCCTTCTCTTTAATTCTGTGTTGCCACGCACAAGCGGCCGTAGCTTGTGCTACGTAGAGGAAAAGGCTGACGTCCTTCCACTTTCCAGAGCTGTGATTTCAGTAAGGCCCGTGCATCCGAGAGCACATCTGACTCAAAAGAAGAAATACTTGATCTAAAATAAAAGACCTTCGGAGAGCCTATGATGCTTATGGGGAGGCAGCCACAAGGCAATAGCTGTGGTGTGATTGTGGAACAATTTAGGCATTTCAGCTGGTGGAGTGGTGCAAAGTATTATACTAAACAGAGAGCCATTTTTTTTATACTTTTAAATAGAGTGATGAGATTTTGTTGACGTCTGCTTGTTCTGAGGAATTAGTGCCAATGCTTTGCCCTCTATCTCTGCATTGTTTGGGGGTTATATGGAATTTACTTCCATATTTTAATGGCCAAGCTAGAACACTTTGGCAGATGCTCAACTAGATACACTAATGTAAGTATGTTTTTAAACTGCTATCAGTGATGGGTTTTAGCACCAGGGTGGAGATGATGTCATAGTTTGCCAGAAGCTTGGCATGCACTGTTATCCCTTCAAAGACAAGCTTTAGCCTGCAGTGAAAATAGATGGTTCTTTTTGCTTGTTTGTTTGTGTCTTTTTTTTTATCAA